CACCACCCGAACTGGAGTCTGGGCACAGGAGAAGTCTCAGAGACAAGTGATGCCCTTGTCTCCTGCCTTCTCCTTTCTCTTGTACTCTGGTTGTGCTGCTTGTTGGGCTCAGCTATGGAGGGGTTAATCTTTTCCTTGTTTATTTGTTAATTATTTTTTCTTCCTCGGAGAGTGTCTTTTGTTTTCTTGAATAGGCTTCTGGTATCCTGTTGTCCTTCATGTGCTCCATGGCTTTTCCCCAGCACTGTGACCCCAACTTCCCCTGCCCCAGTCCCACAGCGTCCCGTGCCCAGGGTTCTGCTCTTCTCTGTGCCCTCCTACTGAGATGTGAAGGTTTGGCCATTACTAACTGTGCTGGTTTAGATAACCAACGGCAGCTAAAATAAATGAGGGATGCAGGAGGTGCCATATTAATGCGCTTCCCTACTCAGGCTTTTAAAGCAAAAAAAAAAAAAGATCTTTTGTGAATCATTGATAAGTTCAGCTTCACTCAGGGTCACTTATGCAAAAACCTAATATTGATTTTTCATCTTTGCTTAGAGTAGCTTCCCACGCAACTGTTCAGGATGCAATGGGGACTCACTTATCAGCATATGACTCACCTACTCCTCTAAATCTTTCTTTTTTCAAGGGTAGAGGAGCCAACCATCTCACAGCGTGCTTGACCTTATACTGTAAGATCAGAGGTCTCTGCTGTGCTACAAGCTGAGGCTCTAGACATATTTTCCACATTTGCTTTGTTCCCGTTAAGCGGGAATATCTTTAACAAGTAAGATAGCTCTCAGAGTCCTTTACAAAGTCATTAAATGTTCATTAGGGAAGCAGTTCTGCTACCCTTCAGATTCTTATTGATGTCCTTCCAGGGCTCTGACCTAATTCTGGAGTTCTCCCAAGGGTTACATTGCTATCTGGAAAGAAACCAAAATAGGGATAATACAATTGTTGTGGAATCCCTGCTTGACTGCACACATACATTCTCTTTTTAACACACCCATTCATTTCTGAAAGTCTTCAAAGCTGAATCAGATACCTAAATCCACCCCCCCCTCTGAATGGCCCAGCAGAAAAATCGATTCACAGGCGAAGTGAAGCAGAGGAGGTAAATACAGTACCCTTCTCTGGACAGAGAGTGCTTCCTCTGTCCATTCAGAACAAGAGGACAGAGCACGCATGTTCCTGCCTGGGATTTCCAGGCTGTCTGCTGTATCCCAGAGGCTTTGCCTTTCTGCAGGAGCAGTCTGTGCAGACAGGCTGTTGCTGCAGCCCACGGGCGCTGCGGGAGCACTGCAGGATGCTCCTGAAAGCGGTTTTCCCTCCAGGAGAATTTAGTGTGGAAGAGGGGATGCAAACTGAGAGACTTATGCCAGCCTTGTGAAATGGAGATGTCAGGGTGCTTCAACAGCAGAGAGATGGATATCAACAGAAATGCTAAAAGAATCAGTAAGATACGTTGTGGGAGAGGTAAAGGCAGTGGATACTTAGCCTAGCACACTTCACTGAGATGAAAATGTTCCATAGGTTTGTACATAACATCAAAGGATTCTGTGGGCTGACACACCATCACATTCTTGATGTTTCTGAAAATTAGTCCTATGCAAATCCCAAATGAGTATAGAAAAAGCCCCCAGCTCTGCCCCATACAACAGAGTGTGGGAGGCAGCCTCTAAATTAAAGCAGGTCAGTTTATAGTGCAGGCTTTTAAGAGCTGTTGCTATGAGCTGGAATTGCGAGTCTACCTCCTTCATCTTCTGCAGAGGTTATTTGTCATCAGACGTGCAGCAGCACGGAGCCAGCGGTTTTCCTCATGCCTAGTAATGCCTCCCGCTGCTCTGAAGGGGCGTTCAGCTCTTCTGCACGGAGGCTCTGTGTGCATCGGCCCCGTGGGGCATCTGGAGCCCCTCTGTTCCTGGGAAATTTCCCTCCAGTGTTCATACATTCCTCCTAGCTCAGTGCCACAGGCTGATCAGTGAGAATAAGCGGAACTGGAGAAAAGGAATGATTGGATTTTGTGTCCCCAGAGCACTTTACCTTTTTTTTTTGTGCTATGTTGTCAAAGCCACTGGTATCTTTATTGCTCTTCTCTACACTTTTCAGTAAAACAAGATCTATTTAGGAAGCAGCTTTAGGATGGCTAATTTGATTTTCCATTTAGACTGTGGTTCTGCAGGTACTTAGTGGACTGAAATCACATTTGCTTCCTTCTGTGATCCTCCTCTTACCTGTGAGCTAGATGTTAACAAAGTCCTCCTTTCTCTCTGTTTCTCTGTTTTCCCTAGTACATGGGCTGTATTGAAGTGCTGCAGTCAATGAGGTCCCTGGACTTTGGCACGCGAACACAAGTCACCAGGTAGGCGGTACCAAACTGAAATTCAGTCCAAGAATGAAAAGCCCAAGCGCTAATTTCTGTATAAAGCCACGGGTGCATGCCAAGCTCTGAGTCAATTTTGAATAGGAGTTTGCATGTTTTGTTTTGTTTTTCCCAAGCGATGATTTGAATTATTTGGTCATTACAATAGGCTATTTGCCTTGGAAAATGAATTGTTTCAGCCACAGACCTAATTTCTCTCCCAGTTCTTGCCCTGGATGCAATGAGCCTCCCCGTGCAGCCGCAGCACGGTGTGGACATCCCCAGCTAGCTGGGTACCAGCGGCAGCCGGGCCACGCAGGCGGGCTCAGCGCTGCCTGCACGGCTCACCCGAGGCATGGGG